CACACACACACACACAACGCACACACACACACACACACACACACACATGCAGACGCGCGCGCGTGCACGGGCGATGACGCCAAGAAGATGGCCATGGTGATGGTTACGAGGTCGACAATTGAGGAGGAGGAGAGGGAGGGGTGACGAGGAGAAAGTTGGAGGGAGGAATAAGGGAAGAAGAGGGGAAGAAGAGTAGGGAGGACAAGGACTATAATGATGGACGAGGATAAAGGATGGAGGCTGGAGGAGAAGAGAGGAGAGCGACGAGCATGGATGGAGGAGGAGGGAGGAGGGCAATGAGCATGGGTGGAGGAGGAGGGAGGAGGGCGATGAGCATGGACACGCGCACGCACGCTCCCCTTCTCACGGTAGCCGTATGCACTCCAATGCATCGTGATGCTGCACTGTTTTTCCGTGGCAGCGCGTGAAATGCCTACCACTTCGAATTCGAATTCCTGCCGCCACTGCCGCAAGGGCATCACAGAAAGATGTGTGCCCCTCGTGAGGGCATTTCAAGGACGGACCGACGAAACGCTGCAAGTTACGTCTCATGCTGACAGGGGCCTGCGGAAAAGTTCAGAGGCCCGAGGGGCACCACAGGGTAAGTCGGCCTTCACAGGGGCACGCCGCAAGTAAACGCAAATTTTGGGGGCATTTCGAAAAATTCCCCAAAATTAAATGCTGTCGGGGGGAGAGGACATCATTCATCATGTCTTTGGGCATAATCACACTACCGGTAGCAGTTTTTTACTTATTTCTGGACGGAATTGCGGCCAAATGCATAACGGTCGGGCCGTGCATGGGGTCAGGTACATTGAAATTAGAGCTACTGGTAGTGTGAGTACTCGCCCCCCCTTTGTCTTTTGTTTTTGCCGCCGCTTTGGCATGTCGTCGCACAGGAGCCCTGAACTAAGGCCTCGCTCGCTCCGCCACTCACCGAATGGCAAAAAAATGGCAAAATGAGAACGAACGAATCTTTTTCGAGAACATGGAAAGATGCAACATCATGCTTTTGGTCTTTTTTTGTGTGGATGTGGTGGTGGTGGACCGAGAGCGAGGCCTCGGCTGTACTACTACCGCGGCGCTGTGGGACCGGCCGGCCCCAGGAGCGCGACGTTTTTCCCGCCTTGGGAAAGGAGCGAAAAGCATGACATGATAATATGAAACACTGCAGCGGCCGAATATAACAGCGAGCTGGTAAGCTGAGGGTACTTGGGTGGCGGGCGCTCGGTAGGACTTTTCTTTGCGCGGCAGCCTGGAGACTTGACTTGATTGATCTTCTTCAGGCTCCATCGCGGTTCTTGTCGTCGAGGTCGTTGCTGTGTTCGTAGGTTCTCTTCTGCTCCGTGGATATGGCGGCGGCACTTACGGTGGAGAAGACGGCCGCCGGGCGGGAGTACAAGGTGAAGGACCTTGCTCAGGCGGACTTCGGCCGCATGGAGATCGACATTGCGGAGGTGGAGATGCCTGGTCTGATGGCTTCTCGCGCTGAGTTCGGTCCTCAGCAGCCCCTGAAGGGGGTGAAGATCACGGGATCGCTGCACATGACAGTCCAGACGGCCGTCTTGATTGAGACGTTGACGGCGCTCGGCGCGCAAGTTAGGTGGTGTTCCTGCAACATCTTCTCTACGCAGGACCACGCGGCCGCTGCCATCGCTCGCGACAGCGCGGCGGTGTTCGCCTGGAAGGGGGAGACCTTGGAAGAGTACTGGTGGTGCACAGAGCGAGCCATGGACTGGGGAAACGGCACGGGCCCGGATATGATTGTGGACGATGGCGGCGACGTGACTTTGCTGATTCACGAGGGAGTGAAGGCGGAGGAGCTGTACGAGAAGACTGGAACTTTGCCTGATCCCAGTTCAACGAATGTTGCCGAGTTTCGCATCGTTCTCTCCACCATCCGCGAGAGCATCAAGAATCATCCCCGAAGATTCAGGGACATCGCTAAGAACATTCGCGGCGTCTCGGAGGAGACGACGACAGGCGTGAAGCGTCTGTACGCTATGGAGCGATCCGCTGAGCTTCTCTTCCCTGCGATCAACGTGAACGACTCAGTGACTAAGTGCAAGTTCGACAACTTGTACGGCTGCCGTCATTCTCTCCCGGACGGACTGATGAGGGCCACGGATGTCATGATTGCAGGGAAAGTGGGGGTCGTTTGCGGATATGGCGACGTCGGTAAGGGTTGCGCCGCCGCGCTGAAGAACGCCGGTGCCCGTGTCATCGTCACCGAGATCGATCCTATCTGTGCTCTGCAAGCCGTTATGGAGGGTTTCCAAGTTCTGACGTTGGAGGATTGCCTCGAGTACGGGGACATTTTCGTGACCACGACGGGCAACAAGGACATCATCATGCTTAAGCACATGATGATGATGAAGAACAACGCGATCGTGTGCAACATCGGTCACTTCGACAACGAAATCGACTTGGCCGGTCTGGAGAAACACCCAGGAGCTAAGAAGACGACGATCAAGCCACAGACGGATAGATGGGTGTTTTCCGAGACCGGCCGTGGCATCATCTTGTTGGCCGAGGGACGGTTGATGAACCTGGGGTGCGCTACTGGTCATCCCAGCTTCGTCATGTCCTGTTCCTTCACCAATCAAGTCATTGCGCAGCTGGAGTTGTGGAAGGAGAGAGGCACGGGGAAGTACGAGAAGAAGGTGTATGTTCTTCCTAAGCATCTTGATGAGAAGGTCGCGGCTCTTCATCTGCCAAAGCTTGGTGTCAAGCTGAGCAAGCTTACCGAGGAGCAGGCGGCCTACATCAACGTCCCTGTGGATGGTCCGTTCAAGCCCGCCCATTATCGTTATTAAGTGTGCCCTGTTATTATGAATTGTCGGGGGGAAGAAGGGGGCAGAGATGCTAGTAGTCGTCCTCGACAGAATCTTTGGCAATTATTGTGCGGCATTTTTCAAGGATCGCAGTAGGAAAGACCTTCATTTTCATCGTTACTAACTCCCATGATGTAGCGTAGCAGTTGTTGTTGGTTTTCGTTGGCTCTGTCACTCTTCTTTTGTGTTTTTCTCTCCCCTTCGCCTTCCCCTTCGCCTTCCCCTTCCCGCACCACCTTCCCCCCCCACCTTCCCCCACAAGGCAGATATCAGTGGGCGGGAGTCATCTAGCCTTTGGCACTGCACGGGCAGTCGGTAGGGCGGCGGCAAGGCGGTGAATCATATGGATGTATCTGGTACTCAAGCTCGCCCTCTTGAACTTGCCGGTGTTCAGTCTTTTTTTTCTTCTTTGCCTCGATCGCGTGTTCATTGATTTAGCTGATGGCATCTCTTCTGAGATGGGTAGTGGAAGTCAAGCTCCCGCTCAGCGACGTGAAGCTTGTGCTCCCGAATTGTCGACCTTGATCTCAGGGATATCAAGGCCGCGCTCGTTTTTAGCTTGTCTCTAGAATTCTAGAGTAGTGTTCGTTCAGAATGAATTTCTATTTTTTGATTTTTTTGATTTGATGATGGTTAATTTCTTTCTGAATTTCGTCTGTAGAATCTCATTGGCTATATGATTGGATTGGTGTCTGGGAAGGAAAATCGATTGGATTTCCTGTCTCCTCTCCTGTCTCCTCTCCTGTCTCCTCTTACGAGGAATGAGCTGTTGCTTCCGTGGAGCTCCGAAGATCGATCTGTCGCCGGCGGGCGAGATTATTATTTCTGTCAAGCGCAAGGGAATAAAGGAGATGATCGTTTTATTGGCCTCCTTTTTAGAGAGCTTTGAACAGTAATTGGTGTCGTCGACGTGAATTTCTATTCTTTGAATTGATAATGGTGGTAAATTTCATTCTGAATTTCGTTTCTATCTCGTTGGGGATAATATCCATGTATGGAAAACAAGAAAGGCGTTTTCTCGCTGGCTGTGTCTGTTGCAAAAAAGAATGCTCCTTTGCGTGTGTCAAGTCATGGACAATCAGGTTAGGAAGGTGAGCAAGTTCTTTTCTCTGTTGGGGATAATATCCGTGGATGGAAAACAAGAAAGGCGTTTTCTGGCTGGCTGTGTCTGTTGCAAAAAAGAATGCTCCTTTGCGTGTGTGTCAAGTCATGGACAATCAGGTCAGGAAGGTGAGCAAGTTCTTTTCTTTGTTACGATTTGAGTGGGCGAGACAGAGACGGGGCGATGCTGAGGCCGCAAGGCTTACTCACACTACCGGTAGGACTTTCTCTGCTCAGCTCCGGCCGTGAATGCGGCCACATCCATCCAGGTCTTCCCCCCTTGATTACGGTCACAGTGCGTTTAAAAGTGCAACTACAACGGTAGTGATTATGTCCGCACGCTGTCCTCCATGGCAAGTAAAGCCTCGCACTTCGAGATTCAGACTACTGCTCTTCTGTGCGACAGTTTTTTTTGCAATGAGATAGTTATTGGCTCGCATTTTCTGAAAGCATATTTCACTTTTTTAAAGCATTTTTCACTTTTAGAAAGCATTTTTCACTTTCTCAAGTTTTTTCAGATTCTTGGTCACCTGAAGTAGATTCTGGAGGGCTTCTTTGATCAGCTCCTCGTCCTCCAATGAATGCGCGATTTCTAGTTGCCGCTCACGATGTGTTGCGGTGCTGTTGAGGTGCTGCACCTGTTGATACACCCTGGCCAGATTCCTGTTTGCCTGCGAGCGAGAAGAGGAAGGAAGGAGGTTAGGCAAAAGACATAACAGATGTGAACTTGGAGATGGTGAATCAAAAATCGAAATGGAGAGAAGGGAATGAGAGGGGTATGGGTAAACGTGGAGGCAGGACGAAAGAAAAAGTAGGGAGTGTGAGGGGGGGATGATGTAGAGCAGGGAGGAAAGAGAAGATCACGACGATCGTGCCTTCTTCTTTTTCTTTCTTTCTTTCTTTCTTTCTTTCTTTTTTTTTTTTTTTTTTTTTTTTTTTTTTTTTGAAACGAGGCCGGGGGGGAACCTCACAGACAACCCGGACTGGAAGCATCATCCAGTTTAACTTGCAGGGTAAACCCGTAGGCCAATTTTGAACGCAGCTATGGGCAACAATAACAGATTTTACGCGTCCGAATTTCATTTCGCTATGAATTTTAAGCAAATAACGAACCCAAAAAGGAGGATTGTGGAATTCATGGCACTTGTGTTTGTTAGGCGAGACCCGGGTTACGCTTTAGAAAAAGAGGAGCGGACCCAACCTTCTGGAGACATACCCGGTGGATGGGTACCTTAAACAGCCACTCCTTCTGGAGACATACCCGGGAAACCCTCCACAACACAACCGGTGGCGTGGTGCCACTAGTAAAGAGGAGCGGACCCAACGCCTGAATCGGGACGTGTTTGTAGGGAGGTGCAGGAAATCGAGATTGAACTTCTTTTCCGCATCTCTGCATAAAACACATCCAGATTCAGTCATTCGATCTAATTCTCTTTGCTAGTGGGACCTCGGCCCCTGAGAAAATCCGGGACCATTACCCAGTTTAGGTGTAGGCGTCTGGGGGCAAGGTCCCACTTGCACGGATTACGAGATTTCGGCCGTTGATCTCGGTTATTTAAGGTCTCTATCTCTTCATTCGTGCAAGTGGGACCTAGCCCCGGGTATGTCTCCAGGAGTGGCTGACAGCAGACCGGTGCTCTGACATTCCACGACCTTGGTAAAGCAAACCGACGGTACAACAATGCCTGAAAGCCGAACAAACCAAAGAACCTCCTTTTTTTTTTTTTTTTTTTAACATGCCCCCGCCAGTGTTAGTGGTGCTGGTAAGAACCAGCCAACCAACCAACCAAAGAACCTCCTTTTCTTTGCAGGTGCTTGTTTTTTTTTTTGCTTATTAGATACTCAAAAGTGAGATGAGCGTACTTGCCTCTTCTGTTTTGTTGTGTGCCTTCCTCCTGTTTTGGCTGACCAAAACTGCGTAATGAACGTATAGTGACTGCAACACTGTGTCACACGGATGCTACTGGGACCTCGCCCCTGGGGCCCAGTCCCACATGCACCGTTGAGTTGAGCTCGACACTTTGTCCTTTTTTTATTCTGTAGGAAAAAAGAATGCATTTTTGTTTTTTAATTCTGTTTTTTTTGGCATGACATGTCTTTGGACTTTTCGTTCAGTTGAGCTAAACAGTCGTTTTTTTTCCTGTAGAAAAAAAGAATGCTTTTTCTTTTTTTTTTCTTTTTTTTTTTTCGGGTCCTTTCCGGGGGCCAAGTCCCACAAGCAGCGTTGAGTTGAGCTAGCTCAACGCCTGAATCTGGATGTGTTTGTGGAGATGTGCAGTTCAGGAAACTCAACACCATTTCTGCACATCTCCGCAAAAGCGTCCAGATTCAGGCGTTGAGGTAGCTCAACGCTGCTAGTGGGACTTGGCCCCGGGGTCCATGTCCCACTTGCACCGTTGAGTTGAGCTAGCTCAACCGTGGCTGAGGTCCCACTAGCAAAGAGAGAGGGAGGATTGGATTAAGCTCCTGAATCTGGACGTGTTTCAAGCAGAGATGCAGAAAAGCAGTCCAAGCTTGATATTCTGCACCTTTGCACAAACGTGTCCAGATTCAAGCTTTCAATGCAATCCATTTCGCTAGTGGGACCTCGGCCCGTGGGGCACTCAATTGGGCCTTTAATAATTCATTGAATTGAATATGTTTTGAAAGTGATTTTTAAATAGCTGCAGTTTTGATAACTTCCTCCGTGTCCACAAAAGAAAAACCCATATATCATTTGTCAGTGTCTGGCTTTTGGGAACCCAATAATATGAGGGATACACGGAGTCTGAGCAGTGGAAGACCTCACAACTCAGACCCCGAGATCTCCAAGCTCAGGGAAGGTCACAGGATCAGATAGGGTGACGCAGATAGAGAGGACTATAAGAGAGCGTTTCAGTGTATTGGGAGTGGGGACGTAGTCTGCGGGTCCATAAAGGAATGAGCGAGTAGAGTCAGGAGATGTGACGTTCGCTGTTCAAGTGAGCGAAAGGGCGCTCACTTAAGATTACTTCAAGTGAGCGAAAGGGCGCTCACTTAAGATTACCTCAGCCGCAGGTGCGCCTTCCCACGCCGTTCAGGTGGATTCATCACCGAGGAGCCCATTCTTGGGGTCAACCAGTCGGGATAATCTTTAAGCGGACAAAATTAGAGGGGTATCGGGAAGGGGCATTATCAGTCAAGACGTTCTTTGAGCGGACATAATGTTTAAGGGGACATAATTAGGTGGGTAGAAGTGGTATCGGGAAGGGGCATTATCAGTCGAGATGTTCTTTGAGCGAGAACATAATCAGACGTGTAAGTGGCGACCTATTTTCAATTCTTTTTTTATTGATTCAATAGAATGAAACAGACAGCAGAGTGCAGAGAGGAGGAGAACAGGACTTTGGACAGGAAACGGTGGGAGATTCAACTGGTGCCCCCCAGTGACTCCTCCCGAACCCCTGTCTCGGCAGAAAGAGGAGGAAAGGAGGACAAGAGGCACCAAGTTCTCACCATCTCATTATCTAAGATTATCTAAGATCGGGTCACGCCCTCACTTGCTCAATGATACATGGTTTAGTGGAGGAAGGAGGGAGCCAGTATGTAACGGTAGCAATCTGGTGCCGAAATCAGGGTGAAGAGACTCCCCCCTGCTCAGTCAATTCCCTGGCTGCCAGGGCAATCAATGCTGGCAGGCTTTCCCCATGTTTCTTGCTGGTGAATTCTGATGTATTCTATTTGTATCATCCTCATAAGGGACGCTGGACCCGTTTTCCAGCAGGTGATGCTCCCCACCAATAGATGGAGCCTCTCCCCAGGTGCTAGCGGTGTCTGCTCTT